CCAGGTAATATACATATAAAGATACCCTGATAGCAGACTTTTATATATGGATAAGAAAGGTACAGGTAGAGACTTACGAGCTGGTTTGCCGTTGGCCCAGGGGGTGATCTTGACATGAGACTCATCTCGTTTTAACGCTTCAGCGCGGAATTCTGGCTTCAGCGATCGCCGCAGGATCTTAGCGGCAATGCTTGAGTAGTTTATGTAACTGAAAGACAAATAACCTCACTGATTATCATTTCAAAGAATTTAACTATTATATTGATGGCGTTGTGACGATATAACTTACTTTAGACCAGCTTGCCTCCAGGCGCTCATTTTGGACTATTTATTGCAGGATAATCCCACGAAAAAAGGAAATAATGAGGAATCGAAGTGATGTAACACACCGCCCCTGACAGCTGGATTTCGATTGACAGCACTGACCACAGATAATATTCGCACCGATTACTGATTGACAATACGGTGCTGACGATTGAGGGAAGAATGAGTGAATGACTGAATGGATTTTGTAAGAAAGAGATAAGCTTATATGATCCTATGAAAGTGTAAGAGAGATACCAATAGGCTACATTCGTTTCATTGCTGATTTTTCGTTTTGATTGGTTGGCGATCAAATGGCATAAAAAACAGGATTTCTTGAATTTGCTTACGTTTCCATGGGATTTTCAATATATTTTCAGATTCGAAGTACATTTCTTACGTTAGCTGTAATAAGTAACGTAATCTCTTCTTGACTGGTAAGTTTTCTTGTTGATTATTTCATGCTACTCAACAAACGATTTATTTAGTTTTTGGGACAGCTGCAATTTCTTTGAAAGTGTCATGTGTTGTTTCTTTTTTGTTTATACTTCATTTCCCTTCCCCTTTTAGTGTGGCTCGTAAGATGGATACAGCGGATTCTATGCTCAGAGCTGTTCCTGGTTCCAAGTCGGAGGAAGACCAGCCATTGAAGAGGAGCAAGCCATCAGCCAAGTGTGACATAGTGAACGAGTGCCAGACTTTCATAAAAGCTGAGGATGGAAGTGGTGATGCCAGTAATATAACCAGCAACATGGTGGGACCAAGTAGTGAAGGTATGAATTAGCAAGGCCCTGGCAAGATGCTTCCTATTTGCCGAAAGAAATCAGATCATCTACACTAATATAATAAAGAGGAAACCTTTGTTTGTTTTTTTGTTTTTTTGTTTGTTTGTTTGTTTGTTTTTTTGTATGTATGTAATCGATAAACTCCGAAACTACTAGACCGATTTCCAAAATTCTTTCACCATTAGAAAGCTACAACATTCCTGAGTAACATAGGCTACTTTTTACCACGGGAAAATTCCTCATTTCCACGGGAAAACGGTTAACATCAGGAAAAGCGGGAAATATAGTGGATATTACCCAAATAAGCAAAACCGCTTTACCGATCTCCACGAATTTTGGCACTGATGTTACTAGCATACTAAAGACAGACATGGACTACTTTTTGTCAGCCTTCGAGGATCTGGAGTACCTGATGAAGACCACCAGCATCCCATCTAAACTATAAGAGATATGGTCATGGCTTCATAGAAAAAGTTGTTCACCATGACAGGCCGTTTCTGCTGGCACATGGTGATCGAGGATCTGGAGTACCTGATGAAGACCACCAGCATCCCACCTAAACTATAAAAGATACGGTTATGGCTTCATAGAAAAAGTTGTTCACCATGACGGGCCGCTTCTGTTGGCACATGGTCATCTAGGATCTGAAGAACCTGAGGAAGACCACCAGCATCCCATCTAAACTATAAGAGATACGGTAATAGCTTCGAAGTAAAAGTTACTCAGCATGGTGGGCCGCTTCTGCTGGTACATGGTCATCGAGAATCTAGAGTACCTGATGTAGACAACCAGTATCCCATCTAAATTATTAGAGACACGGTAATGGTTTCATAGAAAAAGTTGTTCGCCATGACGAGCCGCTTCTGCTGGCACATGGTCATTGAGGATCTGAAGTACCTGATGTAGACCATCTTAACTAGGTATGAGAGATACTGTAATGGCTTCAAAGTAAAAGTTATTCAGCATGACGGGTCGCTTCTGCTGGAACATGGTTTTGATGAGTCACTTCTGCTGGAACGGGGTAACGGACTTTTTGCTGCGGGGAAAGATTCAATTTCCACAGGAAAACAGGTAGATAAGTAGCAGCGGGTGAAACCGCTGGACGGGCCGCTAGTGTATTATAAAAGCCTATATTTACTAAGGTAATGTAGCTCTCAAGTTTTAAAAATAAGTTCAGTATGATCAGTAAATTTGCCCCTGTATTGTAACCAAAAAAAGAATTTGCATTGCTGAAATCATTGGTTTAGCCTTCTAAATCTTGAACTATAAATTGTCCACTGTCCAGTCTAATTAGATTCTGTTTTAGTTCTTATTTGGATTTTTTATTCCTCCCCGGAATTTATCATTACTAGGAGCAAAACAAACAAGTGCTATAAAATATCATTATGAAAAGCCTTAGCACTACAAAAGCATCCAAAGCAGTTGGCTGTCCAACTTACAATGCCTGACTATATCAGACAATGTCAGACATCTCAAGAGATGTGACATCATGGACCTCAGTAGCGACAAGTTAACTACTGCTCCATAAAGAGGAAACCTCACTGGAGGACTGACTTTGCACTCCATCATCATACAAATCACCTGCTTATAGTCAACAACTGATTGCAGATCAAAAGAGAACAAAAAAAATGAAATGCCTTAACCACATTGATTATGTAGTAGCAAAAATAGAGTTAAATTGTTTTATGAGTCTACATTCTACCAAGTCTACACCTCTCTCTCTCCCTTATTTTATTATACATCTTTAATACTTTCCATTGTAAATTAAAAATTATAAATCCTTTCCATTAGTGAAGCACATTGCAGAAATAATTAAAAATGCTAAAATATTTTGTTTGAGCTATGGTGATTCACACTTCCAGGAATCAAATCGCAAAATAAAAAACAAGCAATGAATATAACTTGTAACTGGTCTTACTTTGTAATAGTAGGACACAAAATAAGCCGCTGTGTAAAATCTGTAGACAGTGCTTATCTGCAGTTTATGTACATGCTTAGTTAATCTAATAAGTGGATATCTGAGTCCACCACTTGTAAGGAATCCCTACCTGAGTAGGCCAAGCAGTGTCAATAATCAAGTGTTGGATCACAAGTGGTCAGGGAAAAAGTGTTATATTTAGTGGAAAATGTCTTTGAAAAGAAAAACTTTGAAGAAGAGAAATAGTAAAATATTTTTTGATTTTATGCAGTAAACTTTTCTTGTCAAATTGAACATTTGTGCCAGCCATTTGATATGAAAAATTTTTGTTGCAGAGAAACCAAAATTCGTTACTTCTACACCAGATTTGAAGAAGGAGAGTCCTTCAGATATTCAAATAGCTGATTCTAATCCGGAATGTGATATTGAAGGTTTGTTTTGATATTTACTACTAGCTCCAATAACTCCAAGCTAATTGTAATACTCAGTTGAGTGATACAATTTTGTTATGATGTTTATTGAATTCTTGTTTTATCATGTTATTTGTGTGTGTTGTGAATTCTTGTTATAAGAAAGAGATAATTAGCAAACTGTATACATACGCCTATTTTGCGTGAAAACTGTATAGAAAAGAAACACTGACAAAAATTCATCCCAAATTGTTACCGTGTCTTATAATAATTATTGCGACGATGATTTGGTTGGAGACTCCTTTCTTGCTTTCAGATCTTAATTTGCCTTTTATTGTTTAGGAGTTCCAGACCTGCCTTTGGACGAGGGTCTGCCGAGCACGGTGACCGTGCTGGACGCGCCCGACGGCGGCAAGGTGTACTTAGTGGGCACTGCGCACTTCAGCGTGCAGTCGCAGGAGGATGTGTCCAGGGTTGGTCTATCCGCATAACTGTTCAGTAAACTAGTAACAAAATTAAAAATTTCCATTTTTGTGTACCTTTTATGAACGGGTTCAAATCTACAATGTTCATACAAATTATGACAACATGTGTCCTTAATAATGTAGGTAGAATATGACTATTTAATTCGTTGTTATTCACAACTCATACTACTTATTTATTTTATTTTTTAAATGTAATTAACAATAGTTACTTCTTCTGTTTTAGGTAATCCAAGAAGTGAATCCTCACATAGTAATGGTGGAGCTGTGTGAACAGAGAACTAATATTTTATTACTAGATGAAGAAATAATACTTAGGGAGGCTAAGAATATCAATATCAAGAAGATAAGGTCAGTAAATATAACAAAATAATGTTCCACTATGAATCAAGCCATTCTTATTGATGAAAGATTTGAATTACTGGTATTTTTGTTTCTGAGGTATGCAATGTGCTTTAGTCCAATGGTAATAATCACTCTTAACAATTGTTGGCGTTAGGATAAGGCCATGTTGAATAAAGGCAGCATCCCCACTTCGATAGGAAACCAAGCTGTTTGGCGCCTGTTTCCCTTCTATGACTATAACCACTATGATGAGCACCATATGACTTATGAAGCTTAGGCGCAAGCTACACGGACACGAAGTGCGTCGCGACGCGTCGCATGGTATCTGTCATACAAGTGATCATCGGAGAAATGACACGTGCGACATCGCGACGCTTGAAACCGTTTCCATTTAAAATGTATGAAACAGAATTGACAAAGGTACACACGTGAGATGCATGTAGCAACGATAACGGCTGAAGATCGCTTGTCTGACAGATGCCATGCTGCGCGTTGCGTGGCACGTCTCCGCTATAGAGCTTGCGCCTTAGTTATTTTTTTTAGGTTTTTGAAAGATCGAACTGGCACGCGACTGGGGGATGTCCCATTGGAGGACAAACAGTGTTCAGTTTGTTTGCCACTGCCTTTAAGACGTCATCGATCGTCTTAAACTTATCTGGTGACTGGAGTCGATAGCAAAAACATAAGTGAAACAGATACCTAATCTATTGGGATTTTAATGCACTCACAGTGCCCTTATTCTCACAAATGAAAATAATGCATCGACTGGGGATCGAACCCAGGCCGCATGGGTAAACGCACCCCACCGCTCTGCCGCTGAGCTATCGAACCCCGGTTGATGCATGAATTTTTTTCTATTTCTTATTTTCATTTGTGAAACAGAAAATGTATACTTTCAGAGCAACAATGCAGCAGAACGGTGTGTTCAACGGTCTGATGTACATCCTGCTTCTCAACATGTCAGCACATATCACTAAGGAGCTGGGCATGGCGCCGGGAGGGGAGTTCCGCCGAGCCATGGCAGAGGTCAGTATAAGACAAGATACGATAAGATACAGATCAAATAAGATATACACACACGACTGCACCCAGCGTGGGGTAGACACGGTAACAACGGTCTGATGTACATCCTGCTGCTGAATATGTCGGCGCATATCACTAAGGAGCTGGGCATGGCGCCGGGCGGAGAGTTTCGCCGCGCCATGGCAGAGGTGGGTATAAGATAAGATACAGATCAAATAAGATAAGGTACAGATCAAATAAGATAAGGTACAGATCAAATAAGATAAGATACAAATCAAATAATATAAGATGCAGATAAATTAAGATAAGATACAGATCAAGTCTCCACCCCGCGCGAGGCAGACAGAGCAACAACGGTCTGATGTACCAATGAACTGGGTATGACAGAGCTAGGTAGACTATTAATAATTTTGTTACCTAAATTTTCTTACTTAGACACTTAGTGCTGGATCACACTCAACATCCTACGTCAATACAATCATTCAGTTAAACTGATATCATTTATCTTTCTGAATCTCAGAATCTCCACCATTACAGTAACTAATAGAAACACACACGCTTACTGTTGTGGTTTTGTACACACGTTAACTTTTCAGGGTGATTCTACTTTTGATTTACAACTTTTATTATTAACAGGCGAAAAAGATTCCAAACTGCATAGTGCAACTGGGCGACCGCGCGATCGACATCACTCTGCACAGAGCCATCGCGTCGCTCTCGTGGGGACAAACCATACGGTTCATCTGGCATCTGCTTACCTCCAACCAAACTATCAGGTAACTCATTAATGAAAATAAGAAATTGAAAAATGACATGCATCGACCGGGGATCGAACCCGGGCCGCATGGGTAAACGCCCCACCGCTCTGCCACTGAGCTATCGATGCACCGGTAGATGCGCGTCAAATTTCAATCTCTTGATGCTCGTCTCGAAGCGACGATCTAGCGACATCTGTAGAAAGTATTTACAACTTTATTACCTGGTTAGTCCACATTACAGTAGGAATTTGAACTATAATGATGAAGCCATTGCTTAATCAATCCATTGAGATTTTAATGCACTCACAGTGCTTAATTATTCCTTGGTATTATTCTCATAAATGAAAATAAGAAATTGAAAGATAACATCAGGTATCAGGTGAGTGTCCAACAGTGGACACTCGACATCACTCTGCACAGAGGTATAGTGTTTCTCTCATGGGGACAAACCATACGGTTCATCTGGCATCTGCTTACCTCCAACCAAACTATCAGGTGATGTTTTATTAATAATTTTCTTTATTTAATTTTGTGCTACTACCATAAGAGTTTTGTTTTACATAAATGATTTAATAATATTATCGAAAGCCATTAAAACATTGTGCGCTGGACTTTAACCCTAGAGTGGGCCGCGAGTGGGCGCGTGTGAGCATTTTGCCGCCCGTACTTATTTTATAATTTTTCAGAAAATATTCTATGATTTTTCTTTATTATGCATTATTTGATTAAAATAGACTATAAAACATTAATACTCATGCAAATAGAGTTCTTCGTTTAAGACAATGGGGCTTTTGGCCAACTTTGGCAATTATTTTCAGTTATTTTAGAACATTGGTAATCTAAATGGATATAGATCACAGAACTTCCAAAAACATGACGAATATTATAAGTTGTCGAGATCTACATTATATGTCTGAGCAAAAAAATGTTCACACAAATTCATGCAATGTTCATTGCACAGTAATTATCAATTATCAGCAAGCATTACACCCTGTTTTAGCTCTATTTTTCTTAAAAGGGTATAGATACCATGCATATCACTCCCCCCCTCCTGAAGTTAAAAGTTTGGTATTCAGGTGATTCAAATAAAGTGATTAGATTTTTAAAATATTTTTAATATAATTAACACATGTTTTAAGTGCTATTCATAAAATACTTACAATATTGATATAAAAATTGTTACGTAAGTGGACTCGTGCTTAGCAATTTGCCGCCTCGCGACACATCCTGTTGACAAAATGCGTCGCCCTGCGGCTGCCTGCGTACTGATCCTGTGGATTTTTGTAATAAAGGAAGGGCAAATGCAGGGGGGCAGCTACTCAAGAGTTTAAGCTTGGCAAGTGTATAGTTCAGAAAGTATTTTTAGAAATCTACCGTCGGCGGCAAAATGCTCATAGCGCGCCCACTCTAGGGTTAAAACTTTGTAATTAAGTATTTCTTTTATAATTATTATTTGATTAAGCTTCATAATTGTACACGATTTATCAGCCTTACCTTATTCTATTATTTCTCTACTGTGGGACTGCTGGAAGAGATTTCTTTTTAAAAATAAGTAGCATCTGTTTCGTCTTGTGTACAATAAATAAACTTTTAAATAAAAATATAAATTAAAACATTCGTTGCTGCTATTGTTACAGTTTGGAAGAAGTAGAGAAATGCAAGCAGAAGAAGATGCTTGAAGACATGTTGGAAGAAATGGCTGAAGAGTTCCCAGCGTTAAAACGCGTGTTCGTCGTTGAAAGAGACATGTACTTGTGTCACTCGCTGCAGGTCGCCGCACTGCAGCCGCGTGAGTATTTTACACCTCATCATTATCCGTTATCTCAAATCAGTTGGGGTCGGCGCAACATGTTTTTTTAGAACACAAAATCATGTAACAAGAACATTTGGCTATGTTTTATGACCAGCCGCTTGCCTGACGGACGTCAATCCTCTTTGGGAATGCTATTGTAGGTAGTATCACCGCCATCCATGCGGTTGACCACAGTCCTACAGTCGATAGATATTCAACCGGGGTCAAAAACTCTACGCCACGTTTTACGAAACACCCTAAGTGGACTAGGGGTGACAGTATTCTTAGCCGCTACCATACGTTTTTTTTCACCCGGTATGTTCTGTAATGTTGCAGGGCGAGAGCCGTGTCGTATAGTGGGTGTGGTGGGTATCGGCCACGTGGCCGGCATCGTGGAGCACTGGGGCAAGATCACGCCGCTCGACATACCGCCGCTGCTGCAGTAAGTATACAGGAATGAAAATAAGTAATAGAAAAAAAAACGTGCATCAAGAGATATAAAAATTTAACATTCATCAATCGGTGCATCGATAGCTCAGTGGTAGAGTCGTATTTTTTCTATTTCTCATTTTCATTTGTGACATGGCACTGTGAGTACATTAAAATCCCAATAGTACACAGGAATTTAGGAAAACTACTTCGTACATGTCATGACTTACGGGGCCGAGATGTGGAATCTGACAGTAAAACTGGCCCACTGGCATCCCAACTTCTCGCTAATGGATGGAACAAGATTATCCGACAAAAGACCAAAGTAAAAAAATTGTCACCGATTAATTTTGTAAAAGACAACATTTTCTTACACTTTATAAACTGTTTCTTGGCAAAAATTGGTTCAGTTCGATAGATCGGATCATAATGGTATCGATTCTGGCAGGATTCTTCCTCAGAGATATTCCTGTGTTATTTTATTAAGGGAAACTGATTTAATTCCTTTTTTTTTACTTTACTAAAACCTAAAGACTGGAATATGATACGGTAGTGTTGCTAAATTACGATTCAAAAGTGTTTCTTATCACTTTATCCCCAGAATCCCGCCGCCATCTTTGTCCACGCGCATAATCCGCGTGTCCGTGCGCGTGGCGTGCGTGGGCGCGGTCGTGTACGCGGGGTACAAACTCATCCCCTCGCGCTGGTTGCCTTGATGACGTCAGCATTTGCAGGTAAGACACAACGTTGCCAACAAATGTTCCCAATGAAAAAGTGTCTACATGGGGAACATTGTATAAGAAACATAGTATCTGGGATTTTGCCCCAATGAATACCTGGCTTCATGCGTATAATCCGCGTGTCCGTGCGCGTGGCGTGCGTGGGCGCCGTCGTGTACGCGGGGTACAAGCTGATCCCCTCGCGCTGGCTGCCTTGATGACGTCAGTGTTTGCAGGTAAGACACAACGTTGCCAACAAATGTTCCCAATGAGAACGCATTTTAAACAATGTTCCCAATGAAAAAGCGTCTACATTGGTAACATTGTATAAGAAACATAGTATCTGGGATTATGCCCCAATGAATGGCTGGCTTCACGCGCATAATCCGCGTGTCCGTGCGCGTGGCGTGCGTGGGCGCGGTCGTGTACGCGGGGTACAAACTCATCCCCGCGCGCTGGCTGCCTTGATGACGTCAGTACCGGCAGGTGAGTGTACCATGTACCACACTGGTACATCTTCTTCATCGAGTAAGACACCAAGTCGTCCAACGACCGGATGGACCCTAGTTCAGAGGTTGTATAACGGTCGCCCTTTAAATGATCTTAGACAGCAACCGGGACCGACGGCTTAACGTGCCCATCCGAAGCACGGAACCACCTTGCTTTTCGGACAATCCGAGTGTCGCGCACAGATACGCCAGCAATACACAAAACGTGTGCATGCACCCGTTTAACATAGCTGTCTCTTTCACTCTTACGGTTTTTCTATTTCCTTTGGCTCTTGCATCGCGTCACAAGAGACTGGTGCATCAGAAATGTGAATAATAACGTTGGTATGTTCCATAAAATATCATTGTATCTAACTAGGCGTAAAAACCAATTTACAACTTACGTACTGGTAAATTAAACTATTAATTGTTCAATTTCAACTTTAAACCATCCAAGCCATTTTTGCGAAAAAATATCAACCAACATGTCACATTATCAGTAAAGACAAATTTCCTTTATTTTCAGAAAATCTGATGATATTTGTCCATCTGAAGGTCGTGAATCGAATTCGGGAACATATTAAACTATGCAATTATCAAGCTCATCTATCTTCTTATTATG